TGCTTTCGAACATCATCGCCATTTTCGTCGCCGAGATCGTGTGCTTCGCGTCAAAATGCAGTGACATAAATTTTCTGAAACGTGGCCTTTAATACGAGAGTAGGGTCACGTCTTCGAAAGAAAAACAGAAATTCCGGCATGGCTTTCTCAGGCTGTGCACCGTTTAGAGGGTCGTAGTATAGTGGTAGTTCCGGTGGAGAAGGAAATTAAAGGGAATGTAGGTCGCGGAGGCTTTTCTATGAGAACGTGGATGGCGGGCGTTTAATTTAATCGTTGTTTTGTAAGGGAAAGGGCTTGGTATACTAAAGTACACGCTGATAATCTTAGGTCACGAAAAAGATAGGATATTCTTCTTCTTATTCATTGTACGAGGAAGAAAATACAGACTTATGGTTCAAGAGCGAAAACGTTCGTACGGAAAAAAATTTTAGTGACCTTTAATGTATGGTAAAAGATAAAGAAACACGAAGCTATTGTCTCGCTAGACTACCAAGTATCAAGCACGTTCTACAGGTTGAAACATGCTACGATGTATATATCAACTCTTAGGTTTCATGAAATTTGCATCAGTTTCAAGCCAACATTTTGCTTGTAGTGTGATACCGACGTTAAAACACGTGTTTCAACGTGTCTGGTTGTTTCCCAACCCCGTTGTTGTTGTTGTTGTTAATAGGATATATGTTGATTATAAAAGATAAAAAACTAAAAAAGATTTCTTTCGGAAGGGGATTCACTTTTTACAAAATCATATTCGATATGATTCCTGCATCGATATAAATTGGTTTTAATACTCATTCGCTGATATACATCTACACGTATTGTAACATGTGTCATGAAACTCACATGTGCATGCACGCGTCGCTACAACGTGTTCCGACGTGTAAAGCTCCCTTTAGAATTCCGTAGAAATTACTAACATCTATACGTACGTATATTTAAATGATCGACAAAACAAGAGAAGGAAAAAGATGTGGAATATTAAACTATCAGCTGGCCAAACTTCCGAATATTGAAATTCTCTGGCGATTACCAATATTATATATACAGATTAAATATATATATTTTTTTAAAATGATTCACAGAAACAAAGAAACTTTCAATTTATTGGCTATGCTGTCAATGACGAAATTGTTTCGTAATATTCGCAATTAGTTTCGCAATACTCGTCTCTAGAGGCTCGTGACTTCTCTTTTGTCGAAGAAGAATCGCAACGAGATTTACATCGGCTCGACCCCGATTCCGCAGATTTTCCGCGTTTTCTCTTCTCCTCTGCTCCGTAGCCGCGACTTCGAGTCACGACGCAGAGACAACAGTCACGAAGCGTATCTTCGCGTGCAAATAAACGTTGAGACCGAGTCAATGCGCCGGTCCAATGCGAAACCGATAAGTGTTTGAATAACGGAAACAGGGAATTCTTCAGCGACGTTTCCTTTTCCTCTTGTTTCAAGCAACGTAACCGAGAATGCAAATTTTCTTTCGCACTCTTCTTCTATTTTTACTTATCCGATTTTATATTTTTATACAAGTTCTTAACGTTGCATCAACCGCACATATGTGGGTGGTTGTTAGTAGATTGTGGATGTTTGTGTAATTTTATATCTCTATGAACGTAACTAAAAAAAAATGAAGTTCATATAGAAAGCTTTAGCTACCAAACATTACTAACAATAGTTACCCTAAATATATCACATATTTGTGCATATTATCAACATTCTGTAGATTTCTACATCTTCAAATTTCTCAGAAATACGTAAACAGCTGCAATCCAGTAATGAGCGACGATAACGAAGATTGGAAATATTGTGGAGAATAGATTTTACTTTTGATAGCCCGCCTGGTAAGAGTTTCGCATTTCTTGAAGAAAATTGGATTTTCCAGGATACTGTTTTCTCTTTTTATACATTTTGTTATTTTATTCGTGTGCTAGAATCGAGGTATGATTTCAAACGAGGAGTGGATTAAAATTGCGATAAATTTGGATAACTGCTCCGTTAAAAGTTTTGCGCATTTCGTGAAATAGTACCGAGAAAATTACTTCTGGTTTAGTAGTAGTAATCGCAAGTTGGCAGAAATTGGGAACGAACTAACTCAAAAGCTCGTTAAGGTTGCATTGAGATTCGAAAGCTTATCGAAGGTTCGTTTTAACCATCTGTTCAACGTGCGTCAAGGTGGAAGATTTCTTAATGATCCCTCCAGGTTTACAGGACATAAAATATTCTTTAGCATGTGACCGACGTGGTATTAATTCTTCAAAGTTTCAAGTCCTTGATCTTACATTCTTTACATGTATTAATTTTTCACGTTCCATTCATACTACTTTGACAATATTATTCTATGTACGTACCTACCATAATTCCTTCACGTAACACTGCCTTATTCGATATTCAAAAATCAAAGGCATTGGACCTTATTATTAATTTTACCTTATCCTTCAGATGAATTAAAATCAAAAAACATACTATATACGACAATAAGAAACTAAGAGTTATGCTTCGACAATTCGCGTTACACCTAAGCATATAAAGAATCGTACTTATTAACATATCGTTAACCGTTAATTTTATGCAGGAATTAACGTGCGTCACCTTTACTTTTTTACATAAAATCTGACGATGTAACCTTACATATGAAAACACGAGTTTGCTCGTGGCCGGTCGACAATGTTTCAACGCGAATTTAATTTTTTGCACAGAAGCACGTTTCTTGAAACTCGCAGAAATATGAAAGCCCGTTGACTCTGAAAGTACCGTGTTCCTCTAACTGCCTGAAACTTAAATGCCATCAACCTAATAGCATTAATAAAAAAGAAAAGAAACTCTTTCAGCAAGATTTTAATTTAAAACGTTCCACTCGTAAAACAGCGGCCATTCCGAAAGAAATATCCCATTGGTAGGAAGTTGAACACGGCGTGGTCCGAACGTCACGGTCGTAAGACTTCCGGCAGGTGGCTCATTAGATTTCCGCCACTCTGTGACATTTTGCGGTGCGTTTAAGATCCATTAGGATCGGACCAGATTAACGAGGTAGTAACCAGAGTCCATTTGCAGCGCATTTAATTGACCGTAGTCCCTGCGAATGGCCGCAGACCAGCCTGAATCATCATCACCAATTCTCTTCGCGACGCTTCCTGGTCCATTGTCGACCGTACAATGTACGGCGAAAGGATCGAGACCAAGACGACAGTCTGCGCTTCGGAAATTCTTTAAACCATACCTCGCCGTTGTTCCGTCAATTTAAAGGAGTGCTTTATTCTTGAAAGCCTGTTCTTTGCTTTTGTTTCGCGAGGAAAGCTTTCTCGAAGTGAAGATTTGATTCACAATTAGATTCGAGGATATCGTAAGAGAATGTTTACGGTATTGTTTAATGCGAAAATGAAAATACTTCGCTGCTTGAACACATAGTTTAGTTTTGCCATTAATGCCAATTGTTATGTTGTTTTCTAAAATTGCTTCTTCGTACTGTTCAGCTTTCGTCAAGCTTTCTTTCGTCTATACATAGTAAAGCTTTTCCACGACGAAGCGAGCCATCTTCAACAACCATACTTCCTCGCGTAACTCCCTAGTCACAACTATCCCCCACCACTACCGTTAATTTGACTCCAAATGGAGGAAGCGGTCTTGAGGTTTCGACATAATCGGCGCGAGCTATAGAGACGCGGATCTTCCTATTATTCGCCGCAATGAGCGCGCATTATCGCGGTGTGTTTCGAGCAAGGGTATATTTAACTCGGCTAATGGTTAATCAACGCACGTATGCACTTCAGCAGACGGAAACATCCCGAAGGAAAGTTCTCGAGGATAGTCAGAGCGGATCGTATGCTTGATTACAGGCAGACGGGGGACGAGGAACCGGTTTAATAACTTCGTAACTCTACTTACGAATTGCGGAAACGAGGCCGGATTACCAACTGCTTGGCTGCGATTTTCACGAAGAAATTGTCTATCTCTCTTTCGTTCTCTTTTTCTCTCTCTCTCTCTTCCTTCCTCTCTCCCCTCTCACTTTTTCTTCCTCGCCTCGTTCGTGGAAATTTTCGACACTTTCTACGAAAGAGTGGAAGCTCGAGAAACTCGAACTCGATCGATGGACAAGAAGACGAAGCGTTCTCCTTTTGTTCGAGGAGTTGGGATATTTTTCAAACCCATTCTTCTATTTTCGCCTTGTTCCTTTATATCGAAGGAAGCGAGGAAAGTTCGAAACAGTGATAAATCGAAGACCAGGAATTTTTATGATGCTGATAGTTCTGTATTGAATAGATACCCGAGATTGTCGATGTTCTACTCCCTCTCTCTCTCTCTCTCTCTCTCTCTCTCTCTCTCTCTCTGTTTGTCGGTGGGATTAATCAGAGACCAAGTGACTATTACATGGATCAAGGTAACTCTTTTTTCCAGGTACAGCAAAGGAATAATTTTTTCAACGACAGAAAATCTAGGTTTTAAGTTTCTGGTAGAAACGACTACTAACTATGCTTTTAGAGAAATCGAAGAACGATATTTCACATTCAAAGTTTCACTCTTCGTTTTTCTCCGATATGCTTGATTTTATCTTGTAGCTGTTTCATCGATACAAGACAAAATTTACAAAATTTCGGCGATGAAACACACCCCTTCCCTTAAAATAATCATTCATTAAAATCATACTTCGGAAGATTCTATATTTTAATTGTTCGTTTGGATTCGTCGTTCGAAGCGTTTATCCTGGATGTTTCTTCTTCCTCCTGGATGTTCGGTTTTACCCCATAACCGTCGAATCGACGTTGAAACGATAGCAGAATAGAAATACATAAATTGTTCAATGGCGAAGATTTTTAAACAGAATTAAATTTTTTTTTAAATAATCAAACAACGGCGTTCTCCATTTCAAATGATTTTCCCTACATCTACGTTTTATCGGACAATTTTCCTGATAATCGTAAATCTTCCGGACCGCAACCGATGGGAAAATGAAGCTTAAAACGAAAGGAGAGAACGATGGATAGGTTCATCGAGGAAACAATAAATCACTATTTTTTCTCATGCCGTTTAATCACCTTAAAAGTATTCACGAGTAAAAATACTTACAAGTCAGGTAATTTACATCGAGTTAATAAAAGATTACCGCAATGTCCCTCATCACAAGGGAGTCTCTTAAAAAGTAGCAACATTCCCACCAATGGAACACCAGCGAATGTTTAGGAGATTTCATTACGAAAATATAGGATATGAAAAATATGAATGACTATTTCTACGGGAGCAACAGTTCGCTCCTTTATGTACCTTAAATTAAACTTACTAATAACCACGATTAATCGATACTATAATAGTAACATTCGACCGTAGGCTAATTATATGTATGAAACTGTTATCAAATTGTAAAATTGATAAAAATGAGTTGCGAAGGAAACGAGTAAAATATTTGTTCCCTCGAGAGCCTACTTTTAATTAATCTACCAAACGCAGATCGTTTTTAATCTCGCAATTAATTCAGAATTACATTTATCAGACTTTAATTACTTACGGTTTATTGATTATTGTAATCAACGAAGAGAAATAAAAGAAAAGAGGAAGACAATTACCGAAGCGGATAGTTTATCGATTATATCAGAAATCACGTGGAATGTTTTAATTTTCTTTGCGCTTCGAACAGACGTGCAACGTGCATAACAATGCACGATAAGAATTAAACGATGTCAAAGAACTGAAACAGCGATACACTGTATTTTCAACGTTTTTAATATTTTCTACGTGTAACTCTACTGCGTTCGTTGAATTATTTTCAATCTAATCGCGGTCTCTTTTATTGCCAAAAGTTTCATTAGATCGAAAAGGATGAAAAAAGCTTTTTGTTTCATATCGCGTATAAACGATAAACGATCCATCATCGATCAAATTTAAAAGCGGCGATATTCAAAGAGTGGGCATATTATACAAAAGCGTACAAAATATACAAAGAGTATATTCGCCGCAGTTCCTAACAGACGAAACAGATATCTGCCCAGGTCCTATATTTTGAATTATTTTCATAAAATAAGAAATTTTGTCACGAAAATCCATAATCTATTTGAATGTTACAATTTTTTTTCCAAATATTAAGAGCTTTTTTGATTGTCGAAACAAGAGATAAATAGATTCGGGAACCAACCTGGTTAAAAATTGTTAAAACTGGTGGTTTTTTCGCGGAAGGCGGACAGGCTCTGGAGGAATTCGGCGCGCGCCGATAAGCTCGAAACGTTCAAGCGATAAAATACACACATATATTACACGTATGTACACATTGTACACGTATCGCGGTTTCGAGAGGGAAGCGACGTAACTCAGCAGACTATCGTGGCTTTTCGGTGAATCGAGGCAAACACGTGCCGATCGAGCCAAACGTTTGTTCCGCGAATTTGCTATATAGTTTTGTTGTAATCCAAACTTCCTCCCGGGGAAGTTTCTTCCACGAATTTTCATGATTTCATACTCATAACATTTCTACAGATTTTTGTGTTCTTTTACTTCTGTTAAGTGTACTTGCATTACAATTTTAATATCTATTGTTTTGGTCTTCTATGTAAAATCGAACTGCCACGTTTTCATCGTTCTCAAATTTTAACAATGTATCAAGATACTCGTATCTCGCTACAACGAATTCTAACGAAATTCTGAAACGTTCCGTGTAACTCGCGTAATGTATCTATAAAAGATTCCCACGTTGTGGCGTTCAAATACTTAAGTTACCATACACGACGCTTTCGGGTTTCTTATATCAACTCGCGTGTTCGTTACGGCACTAACGAAACTCCGAAATGTATAATTCCTATATGTTAAGTTTTTAAATACTTTTATGAGTCAGAATACGGCGCTATAAAGCGATCAACAGATAGGTAGTCGCTCGCGCGGTTTCTAACATCGTTCGAAAATCCCTAGCTCGTTGCGTGCTGCCTAAAAACCAGCGGAGCTGCCAACGGATCCTCCAAAAACCGTCCTGAAATATCCCACCTTCCATTGAGAAGCCCCCAAGTCCAATTTCCTGAAGCTATGCCGCAGCAACCCCGAAAATCCAAAGTAAGTTCCTCTTCAAAGCCAATAGACCGGAAAACGCTTTCCCCGCGAAACCACCGGCAAACCAACGGCTATACTGGCAGAATCTTCCGACCGGAGTGACCTGAATATCACGATGGCGAAGATCCAGGGATCAGAAGAGACACCGGGCTGACACTCGCTAAGCCGTACGAATCGATCGCTACAAGTTTCGAGCGTTATTTATTTCCTCGTTTTTCAGCAGCATGATCGCGAGCTCGTACTGAAGGCTCCTCGGAATGTCGAGCTGAAACGCCTGTTCATCGTGCGTCAAACGACGCCTGATGGCCCTCAGACACAGCTCGCGCAGAGTATAAACCGGTAGCGTGATGAAGACGTCGGTCCTTTCGCGTCTTCGACGGGGATGCAAAGCTACCCTGATGGGATAGCGACGTTCCTGTCTCACTAACAACAACGGACTCGGCTCCGGGAAGAACACCTCCTTCTGGTTCACTGTGTACCTAAAAACCCCCATCGTGCAGCCAGCTGCCCTCCATTCGCTTGATAATTATGATCTAATCGTTGTTCACGAAGCAAATTCGGAGTTGCGTTGAACGAAGAAAGAGATGTAGCGTTTTGAAGCTTTTTCTGAGTGGGAAGGTGGACTTTGAAGTGGTTTGTATCGGTTTTTGGAAAATGGAGGGAGAAGCGGTGATGTAGTTTAATTTTGGTAACGAGAAGACCGATGTTGGCTTCGCTTGATGCAGCTGAATCTTGCAAAGTTGTAGTGGCTATCGCGTTTCAAGTTTCAATAGAGACATGTACAAGTACTTTCTTGTGTGGCGAACATGCAGTACCACGTTTCTTATTCGATCGTTATATCTGTCATATCCTGAATTCTGGAATTCTAGAATTTAAGAATTGTTGTAATACGTTTCTTCTTCACCGCGTTTCCTATTAGTTAAAAATCTAAACACGTAAAATCTTTGCTTAGATCTAAATGTACGTTTTCAAACCAACTCTTTCTTCGTTCAGCGTCCGGACAAAACGCACAGATCCCCACAGAACAAACTCTAACCGCATTAATGGAGATAGCATCGTCTGTTTCGACCGTTCGAAAGTTCCTTTACCATTCGATCACGCGATTCAGGAAAACGCAAAGGGAAGAAGCAACAGACCCTATGGCTCCTTTCAAATACGATCGACATAACAAATGTAGAGAGGAAGTTAAGGTTCAAAAGTGCCTTTGGAAATTCAACGGACTTCGAGAGGATCCAATTTTTCCATTTCGAAGAATCTTCGAAGAATTTTTTAGGAATCTTCGAGGAATCCTACCTGTCTCTGGTTTCTTGGTCGACGAAGATCCACGGATGCGTAACAAACGTGTCGATGTCGAGGCAATCGCCAGGCGACAATACACCGTAGCTGACAGCCCGACCTTGATAATCGATCCAGTAGAGAACGACGTTGTGCATCGTCTTGTTGATGAACCTAACGAGGGACACGTACACGTTGTTGATCGAACGAAGCAGGGGCTGCTGTTGTTCCTGGCTCTCCCCCATTCTTCCGGCGCTTTTCTTAGCTCACCCTTTGACCAACTGCGAAACTTCGCTGCGCTCAAAATATCGCTCTTTTTTCCGCCTTGCCACCTTCTCCTCCCCTCGAGTTACGATTTCGCGACGACTGAAAGCAGAAAATCAAACGGACCTGGATTAATCGAGGGCTGTCTGATTCACGTGCATCGAAGAAGATTTTGGTAAAGAAAAGCTTCACAGCATCTTCTTCCTGATATTTGTGATTTTATTTAATATCAGCATGCCGCATCGATTTTACTGTGAATAACCTCACTTGTACGTGTAACATCGCCTGTTTTGTCGACCGTTCGCGGAGAGACGCGATCTCAAGAAGCGCGTCAACGGGAGTCGTAAATTCCCGTTACGATATACAATCGACGCCACGAAACTGATCGGTCCCCTATTTCATTTAAGATAATAGAGGTAGTTGAAGTAATTATAACGCCGAGGAAACAGGTTATAATACGTTATGTATTTCCAACAACTTCTAGACAAGATGATTACGCATGTTGCGTATATATATTAGGTCATCCCATAAGTTCGTGCCGTTTTTCGAGCGGTTATATGTGTTATTTTTTTTAAACACCTATGAATCGTTGTCTTAGGTATCTTCAGAACATTTGACATCTCTTGAACTGTCAAACTTCGTGATTTTCCAACAAGATCCCGAATTTTATCTTCGTCTGTCTGAGGAGAACGCCCGGAGCGTTCCTCGTCTTTTAAACAGAAATTCCCAGCTCTAAAACGTTGGAACCACTTCCTACAGGTGCGAGATGAAAGAGCATTTTCTCCGTAAACAGCACATACGTTTTTCGTGGCAATTGTTACAGAACTTCCTTTCCGAAATTCATATAACATGAGATGTCGAAAATGGATACGCATTTCACTCGTGATTTTTTACTGTTAGAAGTCACTGTGTTCACTATATTACGATCTTATACCCACGAAAATCTGCTCTAGCCTATTCTCGATCAGCTAAGCTCAAGTGCATTGGTCCCTTATCGCCGTATGTTTATAAATCGACACATGAAATGTATACACAAAAGTCGGCACGAACTTGTGGGATGACCTAATATATATGAGTATATGTTAATTAGTTAATGAGTTATAAAAAATAGATATAGTTAATAAATATATGTTGACTGAGTTAAAGTAGTGAACCCAGTGCAGAGATGTAGACTGATCTGTAGTCGTAGATCCAGTGAAGTTCGGTGACGATGTTATCGCAGAGGAAAACTCTTGCTCCACCACCGGTCTCTTACGAGTGAAAATCCCGAGGAAAAATGGGAAAATCCACGTTTCCCCACTTTTTATTTGATGAAGCAATAACCATAAGGAACATTTTGACTCGAAAGTGGTTTGTACCACTCAACGGCCTTAACGGTCAGATCGAAATGCTTAGTTTTACGACAGCTCCTTATGATTATCACGGTCCAACTAATTATATTGACGTAGGGAGTGGCTGCCTCGAGCGAGGGATATATTCCGGGCTAAGCAAAGAGTCACCGGACGAAACATCGCCAATCTGGAGATTTTACATTTACAATATTGTAACTACAATTTTCCCAATTAATTCTGGTAATAACGTACCATAAAGTAGCATATAAATTATTAAAGTTAAAGCACTTTTGGAGAGGAAATTGATGAGATGTGGCCTTTTTAATGTAATTACCAAGTATAGGTATGTTTTACGCTTTCGAAATAAGAATATTTTACATCTTAGTGCGAATTGTATAAAAGTTTCGTTGTTAAAGATTAAATAAATCAAACGTGAAAGTTTGGTAATTCATCGTAGACGTCCAACGGATGAACAGTATTTGTTTAAAAATTCGAACGCGATGAATATTTTCGTCAACCACCATCGACAAGGGAAGGAGACAGAATACGAGTCGGAAAATCGATCGGACATAAACTATTTTTCTAGCCAAACAGGCCGAACCAACTGGGTACGTTGGTCAACATATCATAAAAAACATTGGAATATTTGTCCGCCGATTTTTTCATCTCCTGCTCTCTGACCGTCTCTTTCGCGTGTTTGTCCATATCGACTCCATTTCTCAACCAAACAGGAAAATATTTAGGGGAAAAGGTACCGGCCGTGTGAAATCTAATGGATCTATACCGTGTGAAAAAAGAAAACGTAAATTGAATATATCACGTTTCGTCGCGAGGTCACTCTTTTCAGCGATATCCGATATGTTTTTCGAGGGAAAATACGGTGACTTGTGGTGTCCCTCAAAAGTGTATCATTTTAATAATAATAATAGTAAAGTGCATCATTTAACTAAGCGTATCCCTCATGAGTGTCGCGTTTGAAATGTGAAGAGATTTGATTTACAAATAATTGGAAGGTTGGAATACGTAAAAATTTCGATATTAGAAAACCTGAGTATTCGAGAGTTTTATGGTCTGAAGATTTGTGTGTTGGAAAATTTGGATGTTGGATAATTTTCAAGTTCGAAAATTTCGGAGCTTGAAAATTGAAAAATGTGAGAATTCGAGAATTTGGAAATCCAGGAGCTGTCTGAAAATTTAAATGCGAACAAACTTGGAAGTTGAAAAATTTAAATATTTGAAGATTAGAAACAATTCGAAAAACTGGAATGTTTAAGCGTTCGAAAGCTTGAGATTTGAAACAAAAGTCACCTAAGCATTGCAATTTTAAAGCAATTGACACGGTTCAATGCGAATAAATTGAGACGAGACACGGTCTAAATATAAATTGAGAAAGTTCAAGAACCGTCTGGCGAGCCTGGATCGCTAATAATTCATTTAAATAATATCTGACATTAACTCGACGCGAGACACGTTTATTTAACCAAGGCAATCAATCATGGGATGGTAATCAAATAGCTGTACATTCTCCGACGATCTCGTGCGTCAGTGAGAAATGTCGAGACAAATGAAGGCGTAGCAGTATTCCTGTTCTATAAATATAAGTTGTACTTATCAACTAACCAATGATTGTTCGTGAAAAGTCTATTACTAAAATTAACACGTTTCTGAGAGTACAGTTTCCTGCCGTGACAAATTAATTTATCTGCTTCTTCGTTTCAAGATCTAATTAAATTATTTCTCCACAGTCTATAATTTACCTACGACCACGTGAAATTTATTCATTCGCTAGTTCAGATAAAAGATATTACGCAAGCATATCGCGACTTTCATTTCCTCTAAACAATCCCAGTCGTTTAACGCTAAAACAACTAGTCTCTGGTGTATAAGTAAATATAATGTATGTGATTAATTGTAATCAAAATGGTACGGTGAAAATGAAATATGTATCAGGTTGTCCGGAAAGTGTCTTTCTTTCGCAAACGTGTTTTTTACAACAGTGCACCTTCGTACAAACGTGAAACCAAGTCTGTGAAATGTCACGGTGTTCATCTCAACAGAACAAAATGGATCGTACGTAATTCGACAAAATAATATAAAACAAAAAACGTTGTGCGTCTATTATTTCCTCATAAAACGAAAGAAACTTTTCGGACAACCTAATATAATTATGTTTCGATCTCAGGAAAGATCTACATAAATTTGACCAAGAGCTGTTGCATGATTATGGCAATTTTAATTGAAAAAAGATCGAAACCAATGGTTCTTATGGATTTTATAATTCTAATGTTAAAATCAACGGCTTATTATTAACAAAAAGATCTACATAATTCAAATCCTACAGCTTTCTAATTTACCTAATTCTAAAATACTTGTAATTTGTAAATATCTTCTTCTAAACGTGTTTTTATCATTAATGAAATACTAATTCCACTTGGAACGTTCGATTTCTCGGTTAAATGGTCACCAGAACCAAACGAAGAAATGGAATTAACGCGAAATCCTACTTTTCAATTAAATTTTCGCGTCAAAGGGGAGGCAGCGAAAAGCGCACAATCGATTGCTCGGATATGCGCGTATTATCAAACAGAAATGGGAAGCTCGCGAGTATCTAGCGTTTCCGGGATTTCACTTTTCCGGTGAAAAGCCGTAATGGAGTTTTGGCGTTCTCCGCCATTGTTTTGCTGTTTTATAAGCGGATGAGAGTACCACCACCGTGATGAACGGCAGCAGAACAGAAATAACGATGATTTTACACGATGCACGCGTCGACATATCTGAAACGAATTTCTACAATTTTCCTCTTCCTGATATTTAAACGGCGTTTCTTCCCGATTATTCGTTTCACAAAAAGTTTCTAGTCGGAAACGATAGCGAAGTCAATCGTAAGTGGCAAAGAGAAAAATTCTCTTTCGGTGTAACAAAATTCGAGAAGCTTTTACAGATTTATCTTTTCTTCGATTTTTGCAGAAGCTTGATGTCCTTTCTGAATGTCGAGAATTTAGAAGTTTAACTATCACGCAAAAAGAGTTTTATATATAACGAAAAAGAAAAAACATTTTTAGTTCGCCCTTCGTTAAAATCGTCAAAAAGAAAAACGCTTTGACTGATATTCTTTGATCAAACGTGATAACTAAAGAACGTAACCGATGAAAGCCAGCAGAAATGATAGAGAATTTTTCAAAGAACGATATGAAATGAAAGTGGTACGTTATAAAGGATACGATAATTTGTCAAAAATCGGATCTCGTTACTCTTCGGACTGCGTGTACAAAGAAAGCGCTCAAGTACGAAACAAAATATAAACGGAATTACGTCGACCGATCAATTTACCAGGATCTCTCAAAGGTAACAGATTCCACAATTGCCAACCGAGGATCCGAAAAAAGCGAAGCCCCATCCCCTGCTCTAATAATCGATTTCCTTTCTCCGAGAGCTATACACGAACAGCATAATAATTCCTTCTTCAACAGGTCGTAAAGCATTTCATCGCGGCTATGAGGAATTTCACGCTCACCGTTTTCATTAAAACTTTTCCCTCTGTCGGACATCAATGACCGATATAACCAACGAGCGAATATCGACGAACCCCACGGTTAGAATTAGCGATGACAAGGGCGGCAAGATTTACGTCGGTCGACCAAAGCCGCAATAAGAAGTTATTCTATATATCTTTCGCGATTTATCGCGACGCGAGTGCCGTTTTGCCCCGTGGGACTCCAAGTTTCCACGAAACTTCTGTTCGTTCGTGGATTCGAAGATTACAGTCTGGCG